GGGGTGGTCTTGTCAAAGGAAGCCCAAGCCATAGATCCCTTGACGAATCGGTGCGCAGCAGAACCCCCTTCCTGGACAGATCGAATGGCCCATGATGTCCAGGATTGGTACCTCTGCGCCGACGTTGCACGTTCCAGAGCAGATGCGGACTCAACCAAGACGCCCCGCAGCCAATCTATGGAACCAAGATCTAGGGTATCTAGCCTGTTGGCATAATACCTCCACCACGACCAATCGGGGGGAGGGCCACCATCACGCTGCGAAGGGCAATATCGGCGCAGAGCTTGGCAGGCTCTCCGATATGCGGGCCACAGCTGCTTGTCAGCAAGATATAGAAGAGTACCAAGACGGTTAGAGAGATGCCTCCAGAGCCTTCCTTCGCATGACGAAAGCACACCTCCAGGAAGCAGTCTGGAAACCGAAATCTGGATGGTCGAGGGGGGCTCACCCCACTTGGTGTAATCCTGCGGATCTGGCAACTGGAAAAGGGCAAGCAACTCCTGGGCAAACGTCTTCAGCCAAGAAGAGGTAAGACGTTCCAAATCTTCCACAGAGTTGACTGCGTCAGGATCAGGAAAGGCATCCCAGGAAGGCGGGCAGTTTGAACACCCCACTGGACGGATAACAGGGATATGTGGCGGGCGCCGAAAAACCGATGCCAAATCAGAGTGGAGATTTCCACGAAGGGTAAGAGCGACAGGCTGGTGCGTGGGGATCAGGGGGGTCTCCCAGACCTCACGCTTAACTGCTGCCGAGAGCAAGGGGTGAACCACAAAGTAGTCAATCAACGACTGGGCACCCGCGGACTCATAGGTATGGCGATCTGGCGCAACAATGACCCCACCTATGAGCGTTAAGAAGTCCGTATTCTGCAGGTCCTTGGGGGACGTGTTCCAGCCCCCTGATATGACAGAGGGGGTGGGTATGGTCTTCATGACTGCTGCCACCTGCATCAGTAGAGGGCATTGCGATCCTCGGCGCCTTCCCCCGTATACAAATAGACATTGGCCCAGGGGATACCTGAATCCACGACCCCATGCCATAGCTTCAGGATAAATCTCTCTGGAGGGGGCACGACAACAATCGGATCCAACACAAGTTCAGAGAAGGGCCTGCCATACTGCGAGACAAGGCCCACTCCTGAACTCAATCCGCCTTTCTGAGTATTAACTGAGGGGTGGAGGTGCGCATGGAACCCATGCTTGTGAGCGCGGTTGACTGCGAACTCGATAGCATCTCCTGTACGGCAGAGTTCTTGAAAACCAACAGCATCAAACCGATCAGAATAAGCCCCCAGGAGAATATCGGCATTAGACCAGGAGGTAACGTTCACAGTCACGATGACCCAGCCCCGACGCGGCTTCTGTCCGAAGGCTGACTTGTCGGGCGGGGTCTCCGATGTGTTAAAGGTCAGACGGGCCCTTGGGATTGGAGCCCCCCACCACTGCTGGGGTGTCGGCGGGGCCAGAGGTGGCGGCAGCCGACGGCAAAAAACCTTCCTGACTGTCCCGGCTGATCAACTGCAGCATCAGGGGCATGAGCAGGACGTTTCGGCGCAGGCGGCAGTGAGGAAGAGGAACGGGGAGGAGCCCTGGCAACACGTGTTGGGGAACCTTGCTGGTCGACAGACATCCTGGGCTCCTCAGACTGGGACCGAGGTTCACTGGCAACACCAACAGGAGCATAGCCAGACATAACGATACCCTGGAGGTCTCGCAACGCCTGAGCAAGCTTCTTGTCTCTCTGCACTGCCTGGGAAGCTGCGAAAACGTCCGCCACGGCTGATAGATCTGGAGGCGTGAAGCCCTCAGGGACTGGCTCGCTCGACGGGAGATCCTGCAACTCAGACTGCCACATAGCCATATCCTGGGCGACCCGCTCCTGACGAGAGCAGAGGGCGTCCCTTTCGCTCTGAAGGTCCAGGATCTTACGATCGAACTCACGGGTCTGGCTAGAGATCTTGTCAAACTTCTTACTGGCCCAGTGATGGCGCTGCTTATAGAACGCACGCTTCTGGGGAACGGTAAGCAAGTCGGACTTCTGTGCACGGAGATGCTGCACCTCATCCTGGAGACCCGAGACCTGATCACGAACATACCTGGTGGGCGGAAGCAGGCGAAGGGAATCCAGCTGGCCCAAAAGGGCCTTGATAATCTGATCAATCTGCGTAACCGAGAGCTCATTGCCATTGGTGTCGACACAGCCGCCATCAACGTCGTTGTCGACGTAATCAGCCCACAAACCACGATCGCTGCCGAGACCATCGTCGCCAGAGTCATACCCGAATATATCCTGCACTTCCTCATCCAATGGAGCCTGAAGACGTTCATCCAAAGACCGAACTGGGGGAGTGGCAGTACCGTCATCAACATGACGATCGTGGAAACGAGCACGGGGAGGAGGCAAGACATGCTCACTGCCACTGCCTTTGCTCCTGCCTTTGCCGTCCTTGTCGCCTTTGCGACCATGCTTTCCTGGGACCTGTCCTTTGGAGCGGCCAGGAAAAGGAGTACTGCAGAACTTACACTTCTGGCGGGGGTTGGTGTCGGGGATCCACGAAGTCTTGCCAGCGTCGCGACAGACGAGACAGACGAGATATCCCATGGCGCGGCCGTGCGGCTCGGTGGGCAGCACACGCGCCAGAACCGTCCGAGCCTGCCGCACAGCTGCGGACAAGCTCGAAGCCTCGCGGCAAGGTTTCGAACTTGAGCCAAAATAGCTTGAGCCAAAATGGCTACGGACCACTAGAGCGAAACTCCTCCGGGAACTCGGGGAGGACGACCGCCTGGCACTCCGCGGCGCAGGCGGGACAGGAACTGGCAGTTTCGTCCTGCCCAGCGAGGAAGGTGACCCCAACATGCCCGACAGGCACTTCATCACCTCTGTGAAGTTGCGCCTCCGGTGTGATGTCTGCCCGCAAGGCGCCGTGCGCCAGCACCGCCGCCAGGACGGCACAATCTGCGGCGCCCCACTGGACCGGCGAGGGTGGCACGCGAGATGCTGTGGAGTCGGTCAGTCCCGCACCGCCCGCCACGACCGCATGCGGGACTGGCATGCCAAGCTGCACACCAGCCTCACAGGATTCGCCGCGACCACAGAGCAGCTTGTCCCTGCGTGGGACCGCGTCAACCGGCGCACAGGCCTGCTGGAAGCAGCCAAGTTCGATGTCGCCACGACAGATCCCAGCACGGGCCGGCCCGTCTTCGTTGATTGGAGCATCACCTGCGAATACTCTGAGTACACCCCTCGCAGGCAAGCACGCTCCAACAACGATGGCGCCGCCGCAGCGGCCATGGTGCGGGAAAAGCGGGACAGATACCCCCCGAGTGGGGGAGACCTCGCCCCATTCGTCTTCGAGACATTGGGCCGCCCGTCAGACGAAGCCGCAGAGTTCATCCGGGCTTACGGACAAAACCTCGGCGAGGCAGAGCGGGGCGAGGTGCTCGCCAGAATGTGGCGGCAGCTGTCCCGCCACCTCCAGCGTGGCAGTGCCGAGATGGTGCTCAGCGCCATCGGCCAGTAAGGCCGCGACCACAACCACCACCAGCAGCACAACCGCTACTACCAGCACCGCGACGACGACCCTAAGGACGGCAACCGCCGCGACCACCAGCGCCACGACCACGACCAGCGCCAGCACGACGACCACCGCGACCACCGCCAGCAAACACCACGACCACGACTGCACGACAGCGCCACGACCACGACCACTACCACCTCCGACCTGACTGCCAACGCCCCCGTCCGCCCCGCCCCTCCCCTTTCCTCTCCCCGCCCCTGCCGGGCCGCCCTTGCAGCCGCGCGGGCCTTGCGCCTCCCTCCCCCTTCGCCTCCGCCTCGCCTCCTTTTCCTTCTCCTCCCAGGAAGTAATTAATCTATCATTCATGTGGGGCCCCTCGCCGAATGCGGCAAGCGCGAGGGAGCGATCGGATCGACCTTTCCGGCCGCCCCAGGGGTCCCGTTCGCGGGTGCCGGTCCCTTCTGGGAGCCCCTGGGGCCGTGGCGGAGGAGGAGGAGGAGGAGGAGGAGGAGGAGGAGGAGGAGGAGGAGGAGGAGGAGGGGGAGGAGGAGGAGGAGGAGGAGGAGGAGGAGGAGGAGGAGGAGGAGGAGGAGGAGGAGGAGGAGGAGGAAGAGGATCGGACCATCCAATGGCTCCGTTGACAGGCGCGGCTAGGCCCCGCCCCCAAGAAAGCCACGTATTCCACTAGATGGCTACCCCCTGGACCCAGGCGGCCCTTGCCCACCGATGGGGGCCCCGTCCGACGGCGGCGGGAGCCTTGGAGATTAGCCAAAGCCGTCATTCTGATGCGGCTGGTGGCAAAGGTGACAGGACCCAGGCACTCACATAACAAGGTTGGCGACTGTCGTGTGGAGGCTGATCCACCACATCGCAAACAATACACATACGGCCCTTCGGTGACCAAATGGTGGTCACGGAAGAGTTCAAACTGGGCCTCAGGGGCTCCGAACTCCCGCAAGAGCCGGACGGGGTCCGAGCAGGCCACCGAGGCCTGCTTCCCAGAAGGGAGCCCCCCTGTCGGACCCAACGTCCTCCACAAGGGGGTCCCCGCCCGCGCGGCCCACAGGCACGGCAGGGCCACGAATCCAGGGTCTCGCGGCCGACGGAGCGCCCGAGCAGGCCAACGAGGCCTGCTCCCCGAATGGGACCTCACTGTCGGACCGCGTGTCCACAGGGGGGCCCCCGTCCGCGCAGCCCGTGGGCTCGGCGGGCCCAGGAATCCACGGTCTCACAGCCGCCGATGGCGCATCCGCATCATCCCCAACGGACGCCAGAAAGCGGTCAGCGGCTCGGAGGGCGACCCTGATGGCCTCTTCACGCGCAGAGGGGAGCGGGGCGGCGGAGGACGAGTAGGGGAGACGGGCTCGGGCGCGAGCCATCATCTCCTGCAAACGGGTGGGCGCGCAGGTGCTGGAGGCTAGACGGGCCCTGCTGGCGGCAATGGCCGCCATCGCGCCGCGCCTCCTGCACCGCGCGGTGCCTCCGGGGCGCTCCAGGTCGTGCCGAGACTCGACCAACTGCGCAGGTCGGGCCCCCGCCGCAGGGCGGACACGGGGAGGCACAGGCATGCTAGCAGAGTCAGTGTGCTCACCGACCGCCGCCATCAGCCAGGAGAGGGCCTTCGCCTCCTCCCTAGCGTCACTGAGCTTCACTTTGTACAGATCCAGCAGGGCGGAGGGCAGCCTGTGCAATCGCCCGCCCACCTTGGCGAATAAAGCCGCCCACTGGTTGCCAAAGAAGTCCTCAGCGAAGTGCCCCAACTGGACGAACCTCTCGAGGTCGAGGCGCGCAGGGCGCCAACATGCAGCAGGCCGAACTCGGCCACATCCAGCTCGTAAATCCGTGAGCTCCAAGATATCCCTCCAGATGTTTGCATACTCGCTGCCCGAAGCCGCCTGGCGGGGCTCCCGGGCCTCGACCTCGCGCGCAAGGGCCGCCAGGTTGGTCACGACAAACCGAAGGTACGGCATGTGCGTCGTGGCCATTAGCAGCGCGCGACGCTCCGCCCGACCCACCGCTTGGCGGCTGCCAGGCAGAGGTCCGAATACTGCTCGAAGGGGGAGGCCCTCGCAGCTGACCTGTACGCGTGCCCAGCTGCATCTCGTAAGCTCGGGCCAGGCCGTCTCATGGCCCGACCCGTCGTGGTGCACGATGGTGCTCCTGTCGCCCACGTCGGAGGTCCAGTCGCCCCACCAATCGCAATCTTGGGGCCTCTTAGCCCCGGGGGCGTCATAGGGCACCTGCGGGACACCCGTGATGACGTCGAACCTGTCGTAGTCCACGTCGCCCGCCCCGATTTGCATCCGCTCCATGAGCCTGGTCCTCACCTTGGTAGCCTGCTCCGAGATCGGCTCGATGCCCATGGAGTCCTCGTGCGAGCCAGTCGCCAGGATGGTCGGGCACTCGTTGAACTGGTGGCCCCTCGTGCACGGCGGGGCGCCCTCGCAGCATGGGCAATCGGGGCTGGTGAGGTACCCCATCTGCCACCGCGCGGCGGGGCCCCGCGCTGACCCAGACCACAGCTCGCGAAGTTGCCCTGCTCCCGCACCTCCGACGGCAGCGCGAGGAGGAGCAGGGCACTGGCGGACCGCCCTCAACCAAACAGGCGCCGATGAGATCGGAGGGCAGTCCGCATGATGAGCCAGGATCCGTCGCCCTGCCCAGCGCTGGATGTCCGTCTTCAGCATGTGCCCGATGACCTTTGGCGGCGCGGCCAGGATGTGGAGCGCTTCGCCCAAGTCCGCGCGCAAGTGCAAGCTCGAGCTCATGCCCCAGCCGATCCTGCGGAGGCTCAACCGAGTGGCCGCAAGCGGGCCGCGAACGCCGTGACAAGTTGGGGCGCTCCGCTGCCGGCTGGCCGCAAGGGCTTGCCGTGCCCGCTGCAGTTGGCTCAAAAACAGCTTGCCGTCCCAGACATGTGCGCAGTATCGGGTGTCTGGCGCCACCGTCGCATCAAATATGGGGCCCATGTACCGGTCCCGCTGCGCGGCCAAGAAGATCGTGGAGGAGCCACTGTTCTCGCCCCCCTTGCCCGGGCAGGGCGCGACCGCGGCGTGCCTCAGCGTCTTGAGCTGCTCGTCGGTGGCGCCAGCCACGGCCGCGCCATGGCCCGCAGACGGGAAAAACCCTGTCCGCCACAAGGCCTGGATGCGATCCCCAGCAGCCCGACGCAGAGCTAGCACCCTCGGCTGCCTAGCCCCAAGCTAGGCAAGGCGGCGCTTGGCGACCGCGCGCACCACGCCCCGCTCATTGGTGTCCTGCCCCATGTTGCGCACTCCCTTCCGATGTGGCAACCGCAGAGCGCGGCCTGCCCTTGCGCAGCCACGGACAGCAGAGCGAATGGCGCCCAGCCATCCTGACTTGTCCAGCTTGATGGTCATGCCGAGGGGCTCCACATCCTCCACAAAACTCGTGAAGGCAGCCTTGAGGTCGTGGGCGCCTGCCTGGACATGCTGTCCAACCCACTGCGTCGTGAGGTCGCCCATCAGCGCCCGCGGCCGCAGCATCTCGTCGGAAATGCTCCTGCGCTTCGTGACGGAGCGATACAGCAATACCGTGAGCAAGCCCGCGCTGTGAGTGCAGCCCGCCCGGATGCCCTGGCCCACGCTCGCCCGCCTAGACCAGCACCCGTGCGCCCGAATAGTCCCGGGCATTCCGAAATAAGACAGCAGCTGCCAGATCAATCGCAACGGCTAGTCGCCTGCGCGAGCCTCTCGCAGCAACGCGTCGAGCAGCGCGCTGTCGAAGGCCACGTGCAAATCCAAGATGGCCGTCTGGCTGGACTGTCCCAGGAGGTGAGCAATCCCCCCCTCCAGGTTGTGGCTGAAAGCCGATTCGGTGGACGAGCATCCCCTCGAGAGCGCACAGATGGAGGCATGCCTGTGCTGCTTGATCCAGTCTCGGGACAGCGGACGTCGAGCTCGCGCCCGCACTCGGACCAAGGTCGACACCAGGCATATCAGCCTAGACCCCCCGTCCTCCTTGGGGATCCTGACCATCACGTTGACGATGCGCTCCGAAGGCCACGAGAGGAGGTCCTCGCACCTCGTGAACAAGAGCGTCAAGGTGTTGAAAGCCTGGCTCGACACGTGCCAGAGGTCTCGGGGGTGCATCTTGCCCTGCCCAGCAGCAGTCCCGTGGCTGAAGGTGAGCGTGGCTGCACACAACTGCTGCCCATCGAGCGCAGGCAACGAAGGCCACGGGTGGGCGTCCCCAGGCAGAAGAAGTCGCCGCGCATCGCCACTGGCCCAGATCGACTCCCACTCATCCATCGCCAAATATGCTCGCACATATGGGCCCCTCATGCTCTCATCTTGGCCGAAGGAACTCATGGGCTCAAGCCTGTCCTGGACCTTGGTCGCGCGATGCGCGCCTCCTGCACCGTTCCGGGAAAAAATTGGCCCAGGCTCGCCACTGCCCCGATGTGACACGTGCGTGGATGGCGAGGTGGCCCTTATAGATCGTCACAATCTGCGACACTAGGACCCCCAGGTCAGGCTCCACCAACAGCATGATGCCCTTGGCGAAGAGCTCGCGCACCTGGATGGTGGCGTGCTCCCAGACGTGGTGGGCCTTGGCGATGCGCTCGGAGAACCTGCAGAGCTCCGCAAAGTTCTTCGCCGTGCCGCAGACCCGAGGTCCAAGATCCTTCGCGTAGAGCCGCGCCAGCCTCGCCAGGTGCACTCGCGAACGCAGCACGTGCTTGGCCCATCGCGCCATCGAGGCCCACGCGTGGACCTGTGCAGGAGGTCGATTCCGAAGGTGGGGGGGGCTCCCAGCGCAACCGAACCCAAGCCGTCTCAGGTGCACCAGCACGTCCCTCATGCCGCCGTCGTGCGCTGGCTGGCGTCCATGACGTCGGCGCGGCTCAGCAGCTCGGCCCCCAGGCCACGGAGCGCCTCGTCCAGCAACACTGGAGGTCGCAGTCCTCGCAGGCAACCAGGATCATGCTGCCGGTCCGCTGCCAGTGGTCAGTGAGCGGCAGCCTGGCACAGCCTGGCTTGATGTGGTTGCCAGCCGGCTCGCGTGGCACACGCATCCACAGCGCTCGGTCGTCCGCCAAGATCGGGAACCTGACCGCCGCGCGCACGGGCAGCGGCGATGCCTCGTCGACCCGCGGCGGCAACATCCCGGGCAGGAGGTTGCGACTGCACGCGGCGTAATCCAACGCCGAGCCATGGAGGCGCTCGGCGCAGGTGGGGACCGATTGCGCAGCCAAGAAGCCTTGGGCAGGCCCCAGCCACCTCTGGTCCAGCACCGCGGGGGCCATGTCCCAGCCCCCCATCGCAATCCAGTCGAGGCCCCCGGCAATGACGTGGCTGACGTAGGCAGGGACATGGGGGAGGTGCTGGTTCTGGCGCTTCATCCCGGCGTTGGCGACGAAGTGCGCGGAGATGATCACGACCCCCCCCCCCCCCCCAGGCGGCTCCCAATGCGCATGCGCAGCAGCAAGCCGTCCTGCGCTGATCAAGCGCCGCTTGCCCTCGCACCATCCAGCTGGCGGCGTGGGGCCAGCAACAACCGCAATGTGGGCGGGGGCCAGGATGGCAACGCCCCCCGAGGCGCCGCCTTGTCCCGTGGGGACCGCAGGGGCAATCGCCCCATGACGTGATGCGCCTGGGCGGCCACAGCCTTGCAGGCGCATCTGCGTAGTTGGGGGGATCCACATCAATGTTCTCATCCTGCTCAGCATGAACAGCACGACCGCGTTTCCGCACGGGCCCTCGGCTAGACAGTTGCTGGCCACCAGTCCCAACATACGCAGGCTGCGGCAGGGGCCCGCCCCCAAGCCTCGCCCTCCTCCGAAGCGCGCTCGAAGTAAGCGAGGCCGCCGTGGGAGCAGAGCAGCGAGGGGCGGGGGCTGTTTCGGCCAACAGTGGAGAGCTGCACTGCACCCTCGCTCGTGGGGGGGCCGCGTCGGCCAACGGGGCGGGTTCCAAACCCCGCAGCCATCCGAAACGGGGTTCGCCGACGATGAGGCCGCAGTTGGGGAAGTGCCGCGTGGGGCGGGGGCTGCGTCGGCCAACGGTGAGGAGCTGCACTGCGCCCCCACCGCGAGAGGGGCCGCATCGGCCAACGAGGCTGCCCCCCGCCCCGCACCGCTCCCAAGCGAAGTCGCCAAGGACAAGGTGGCCGACGCCGCAGTCCAGGCGGAACTCCCAGCCCGTGAGGTAGTGCGCCTAGGGTGTGGTGTGCGCCGCACGCCTCAGCCGCGAAGCACAAGCTCCTCGTCGCGTCCTCCCGCCATGGGGCGGTCGGTGGGCTGCGCCTGCCTGGGGGGGGGGGGGGGGGCCCCTCGAGGTGCTCCGCGAGGTGCACCCCCCCCTGGCCACGCCGCCGCCCCTCGTCCTCTGGCGACGGGGCCTGGCCTCCCCGCTGGTCATGGGGGCGCGACGAAGTCCCAGGCGCCACCGCAGGCGCATCTGCGTAGTTGGGGGGATTCACGCCAGTGCCGTCAGCCTGATCATCATGAACAACACTACCGCGTTTACATGCGGGCGCTCGGCGAGACAATTGCTGGCCACCAGTCCCAACATCCGCAGGGTCATCTGCTGGCGACAGGGGCCCGCCGCAAAGCCTCGCACCTCTTCGAAGAATGCGAGGCCGCCGCCGGGGCAGAGCAGCGAGGGGCGGGGGCTGCATCGGCCGAGGGTGGTGAGCTGCGCTGCGCCCCCGTCCCTGGAGGGGCCGCATCGGCCAACGGGGCGGCCCCAAGCCCCGTGCCCCTCCGAAGTTGACTCGCCAAAGATGAGGTCGCCGCAAGAGAAGTACAGCGTGGGGCGGGGGCTGCATCGGCCAACCGCGCGGAGCTGCACTGCACCCCCGCCCCAGGAGGGGCCGCATCGGCCAACGAGGCCGCCCCCCGCCTCGCACCCCTCCCAAGCGAAGTCGCCGAGGACAAGGTCGCCGACGACGTAGCCCCCAAGTGGAATGCCCAGCCCATGAGGAAGAGAGCCCAGAGAGCGGTGCGTGCGGCTCGCCGCCGCCGCGGGGCACAAGCCCCCCTCCCTCCGTGGGGCGGTCGGTGGGCTTGCGCCTGCCTCGGGGGGGGGGGGGGGGGGCTCGCGGTGCTCGGCGAGGTGCGCCCCCGCTCCCCCCAGGCCACGCCGCCGCCCCTGATCCCCTGGCGACGGGGCCCGGCCCCCTCGCTGGTGATGGGGGCCTGCGGCGGAGCCCTCAATGGGGGCGCGGCACGCCGCCAGCAGGTGGGCAACCTCCCGCGCGACCTCCGCCCCGCGCGCAGTCCGAGGGCCCCTTGGGCCGGGCCAGGAGGCAGCCGCCCATCCATCCGCTGAGCTCGTCATCGTGGGCCAACACTCGTCACTTCGCGGCCTCCACTCCCCGCGGCCCAGCTCAGAAGGGGGCGACAGGAAGGTCCGCGACAGCAGACGGCAGGCGGCGAGCAGCAGCGCGCTTCTTCGCCATGTCCCCTGGCACATCGGAGTCCACAGGGAGGCCCCGCAGGAGGAACTCGTTGAGCATCTCGGACGTGGCGCCCTCGAGCCTGGGCTTCGCAGCTGCAGAAACGGCCTCTCCAGGAGGAGGTCCCCCCTTCGATCGGGGCCTGGCCAGAGGCGACCGCCGCCTCGGCAGGCGCGGCTGCCGCAGGGCCCGCAGCTGGGCTGCCTCCAGACGCAGCGGGCTGCGCTGCCGAGGCCGCCCCCAGCTCCTGCTCGATCTTGGCCGCGAGCTGCGGGGCCACCTGCTGGGCCTGCTGCAGCTCCAGTCCCAGCCCCGACATGATCGCCCCAAGCATCTCGACCGAGAGCCCCCGCCTGGGCATCTGCCGTGCCAGCTCGGGCTCCTTGGGCGCGCCCCCAGCGGAGACCACCAAATGCTCGAGCTCGGCCTGCAGGGCGAAGATGGCCCGCCGCTGGGACACCAAGGCGGCTTCCTTCGCGTCTCGCTCCGCCGTGAGCTTCGCGATGTGTGCCGTCTGCGCCTCGACAGCCTGGGACGCCCGATCTAACTGGGATGGGGCGTTGGTGATCTGCGTGGTGAGGCCCTTGACCCTCTCCATGTGCTGCTTGGCGGCGAGGAGCAGGCTGGCATGCTGCTCCTCGCCGCTCGCATCTCCTCGATGGCGTGCGCCCACGTGGCCAATGGAGCGAGCTTCGCAATGGCGACCGCCTGCTCGATCTGCTGGTCGAGGACCTTGATGCGCGCCCTCCTGTCGCCATCCGAGAGCTCGCGCCGTCGCCGTCGACCTGCATGCTGCCAGCGTCGCCCGCCGCGGGCGCAGGTGGTGGGGAGCCGCCGCCACGCTGCGCCGCGCGGAGCTGCTAGACCTCCGCCTGGAGGCTCTGGAGCAACTGTTGCGTGCGCTCCGCCTGCTGCCTGGCGGCTCCTTGCTCCCATCTCCTCCACCCTTCCGGGCCGAGAAGGAAGGAGAAGCTGGCGGGAGCGGGCCTCCGTAGCACGACCCCTTGGCCTGTCCACACTTCCCGCACTGCTGCATCGCCGCGCCGTTCCACCACTTGGCGCCGCTGACGGGGTGGACGCACGACCTGCACAGCCACTTGGCAGCCGCCTCGCGCCGCTGGGCGCGCCCCATGCCGTCGTGATGCCGATGGGCCGCCAGGGAGCCCCTCTGGTACTGGCTGAAACACTTGTCGGGCGCAAACGCCCTGGCACTGCCGCGGAATAGTATCCGTGAATGCTAATGCGGGCTCCGCCCGCCACAGCGAATATTGAGCCAAAACGGCTACGGATGAGGATGAGGAGGAGGAGGAGGAGGAGGAAGAGGAGGAGGAGGAGGAGGAGGAGGAGGAGGAGGAGGGAGTTGAGGAGGAGAGCGAGGAGGAGACCCCTCCAGCGGTCCATCCTTGCATTTATGTTCGAGCTGCGTCCAGCCGTGGCGGCGAGAGCCTCAGGGAGCGACGCCCGATTACCTGCGAGACGAGGACTTCGACGTCCCTGACGCTATAATGAATTCGGTGGTCCACGACATCCGTCGGGGACTCCTAGAAGATCGACAAAGGGGATCGACTGCATAATCGATGTACCCCAGATTCGATTTCTTCTTCGCATTTACGACAACACATCTACGATTAGTAGATATACGGGGCACTGTACGTGTCTTTTTTTCTCGAATTTTCGACCACCACAACAAATTAGGGGTAAATCCACTTCTGTAGTCGATCCCCTTCCCGAGAAGAGGTGTCCCTGGCTTCGGGGCTCCAGGACGGTGTGGTGACGGACCGTGCGGTGACCTCGAAGTCCCAAAGCCCTCACCGCATGGTGCATCACCGCACGGTTTCGGGACGTTGGGGGCGCCTGTCGCCCGAGGCGTCCTCGGAGAACGACCTAAATCACAAAACCGTGTGGTGGCACGGAATATCCACTGATTCACAGCACGGTGTGGTCATCGCACCGTCTGGGGGCCCCCGACTGGCTCAAGGTGCCCCCTGCTCTCGTGAAGGCCTTCGAAATTGTGTCCGAGTAGATGGGGTTGGAGGATCGCGCCGCATCGCAAATACATCGCCGACGCATCGGCGACGTAGGCCATGACTCGGCGACGTCGGCGTCGTGATCATCGGGCTCCACATCGAGCCGCATCGCCGATGCATCGGGAATGCGGCGCGACCCCCCGACTCCATCTACTCCAGCCCCATATGGGAGGCCAAGATCTGGGCCTCTTTATCGCGCGCGGACGGGCTGGACCACCACCGCCGAAGACAACGACACGTCCATGCCGCCCGTGCGAAATCTAAGCGCGTCAAGTCCCCTCCTTGGTACCCGCCCTGGTCCCCGATCGATTCGGGGGGGGGTGCTTTGAGGCTATCTGGGCCTCCCTGCAAAGCTGGGGCCGCCTTTCAGGCGTACGCTGGCATGGATTGGGGATCCGTGGATCTGGCGCGTGGGCGCCATATCCACGGACCGGGGAACGTTACCCCCGAAGCATGGCGCCAGTGCCGCTTGATTAGGCGACGGACCGCGCCGACTTGGTATGAAAACGTGACCCGTCGCTGGTGCATTCGCCTTACCCCATGTTTGTTCGCGTACGCTCCACGCAAGTGTCCAACAATCACACGCGGAGAGCGGCACGCAACGAACTGCCCATGCAGGCGTCTGAACTGTGAGAGAGGCTGAATCCTCTGCAAGAGGATTGGCGATCACCACTGTCGTCATGATGGCAGAGATGGGTTACGTGAATGCGTTTCCTTGAGCCTTAGGCTCAGGGCACCCCTAAAAATGCAGGGGGTGCTATTCTTGGTTTTCAACATTTCGTGTTACGGTCGACCAACACATACCAGAAAAGGCAACCAAACACAAAACAACAACGACACAGGCCGACAGAAACAACGGCAACCCAAAACAGCAAACAAAAACAATTGACAGAAACGGGAAGTAAACAAAACGACAAATTCAAACCCTTAGAAAACGGATCGCAAAACGAACCGAACACGACGAGGGAGAAAAACACGGCTCCCCAAACAGACAACTACGTCGATCTTGAAAACGGAGAAACACAAGCGACCAACGGTTTTAAGACCCCCGGAGCCCCCGCGCATGACTGGGAGGACGCGCGGCGCGGCGCCGAAGCCGAGCGGTCACACGCGCCAGGGGGCGCCTCGCGCGGAGCACGAAGGCGTCCTCCTCCCCATAAGACCTCGGCGGCGTCCGCACGGGGTGCGTGCGCGGACGGAGGGGGCGATACTTGGGGCGTGGGCGGGGCGGGGCGGGGAGGGTGTGGGAGAGCGGGGAGGATGTGGGAGGGGGAGCGTGCATGTGGCATGGATTGGCCTGCCTCCTACCGAAAAGGCAGGTCCGAGAAGACAAGGGGTGAGACGAAAGCAAGCGCAAACCATGGAAGGAAGACGACGATGAAGGACGGGGAGGGAGGAGGGATGAGGAGGGAGGCGGGACGCGGAGGGAGATGGGATGAGGAGGGAGGAGGAGGGAGGAGAGGAAAGCGGGGGAATAGGGAGGAGACGGTACGATGAGGAATGATGGACGAGGAGGCGGAGAAATCTATCACCGATCGCCAAGGGTCGGCCAAAGCTACCAGCACCCACCGGCCCAGGTTACCAGTATGAGGCCCAACAGTGTCCCGAGTGCGCCACTCTGGAGGCCGCTCCATGGTGGTGGAGCAGACGGTGTCGGATGATCACACGGCATCACCGTCGCATCGGTAGTGCATCGACAACGCCGGGGGCCGCATCGCCGAAGGATCGGCGATGTGGCGCGATCTTCCGAACTTGGATGCTTGGGCCTCATGTGGGAAGCATGGATCTTCCGATCTTCCTCCCTCCCTCACTCCCGTGATCCGTCCCTCCCTTCGGCCTCCGTCTGAACTCCTCCCATCTCTCGTCACCGCCCCCTCGTCCCCGTCGTCTCCTCTATTCCCTCCTAGCTTCCTGGCCCCTCCCCATCCGCGCAACTCAACTCTAAGTGAGCGGCCGCGACACATGCGGCCCAAGGGCGATGCGTCCCTCCACTTCGACCCCTGGCGCTCTTCTCGGGCCCAAGCCAGCTCAAAGACGGCCCAGGGCCACCTCGAAGTGAGCGACGCACGGGAGGCCCTAACAGATGCTGTGAACCACCGAGCTGGCTAAACCACGGGGGAGGCCACCATAGTCCCACCAGCCTTTAGGTCGTAGATGGTTTAGGGCGTTTCCTCTTCCAACCCCCTCATTCCCTATCGGGGAAGGGTTCACTATTCTTTCCTATTTAGAAAAACCTCCACCACCACCCGACTGGCGACAAACTCGGAACAATGCAAACACTTCCCTAACCATCCCTTGCAACAGACTGCACAATGCATATCGCGCCCGAATCGGAATCATGCGTGGACGCCCCACGATCACTTCGCATTGTGTTTCACAAATGCGGCGGGGGGCGGCACATTGCTGGCCGTGTGCAGTGCCAACACCACCCCACAATCCCTTGCAACAAAACAAAGCGATGGGCACTTTACACCAAAATCTGGATCATGCGCGGGCGTCCCCGACCACTTTGCATTGATATTTGGCAGAGACGGCGGAGGGGCCAGCAAATTGCCTGCTGTGCAAGATACCACCCCCTTCCATCCCTGGCAGAGACATGACAACGTGAACTCTACACCATTGCAACAGAATCCGCATCATGCGAAGGCGCGCCGCGATCACTTTGCAGTGGTCTTTGACAGTGGCGGCGGGGGGCGACGCCATATTGCCTGGTGTGCATGACCATCAACCCTTTCAAAAAATGTAACGCGCACGTTACCAAGGACCATGGGGGTGGGCGGCGTGTTGCCTGCTGTGTGCAGGCCCGCCACCCCTGTCAAAACAAAAGCAAAACGATTGCAGGTGCACACGCACAATACACAATGCCGGCAACCTCGCCGTCCCTCTTCCTTTGAAGTGTTTTTTGACAGCGATGATGGGGGTGGGGTCGACATATTGCCCAGTGTGGCGCACGCGATACGCGGGACGCACCTGGCACGGGCGGCGCACCTCGCAGGCGTCGCGCACCGGGCTGGCGTCTGCAGTGGTTCCCGATGGCCGTAGATGGCGGCCCCAGCCTGTGCCGAGATTAGGGTTCCTCGTATGTAGTTGGGGAGCGGGTGGGAGTGAGCGAGACGACTTACGGCGTTCCCGCTGGGAACTTGACCCCTCCCCCGTCCTCCTCCCCGTGGCTCTGGACGGCGGGGCCTCCAAGATGGCTCAAGATAGCGCGGGGTCGCTCAAAATGGCTTGCAGCATACTCCAAGAGGTCTGGAGACCGCTCATATATGGGTCCAAGTAATATTGCCCCCCCCACCTACCCCAGGACGCCTCGCAAAGGCCAACATCCTTCCAACCACCCAAGGAACACACATTACTTTGTGCCTTATCTGATGCTCGTTTACGATGGTCGTCCGAAGCCTCAAGATGGCTCCAGTATGGCCCAAGAGGGCCCCAAGACTGTCCCAAGAGCGCCACCCCTTCTTTGACTGATGTCCTCCAGAAGTGATCCCAACAAGGCCCCCAAGGAGGCTTCTGAGAGGCCCCAAAGTGGCCCCCAAGAGCCCCCGAGAGGCCCCACGGACGCCCTGAGAGGCCACCCAGAGCCTCCCAGGAGACACCCCAAGCGAATTCGAGAGGCATCCAAGAACCCTCTAGTTCAATGCTACTCCGCGGGGTATCCAAATGATGCCACGTTCCTCCGATACGTGCAGCTACCCTAAGCATCGTTCTTGGATGGGCTAGTGGGGATACGCGAATCGTGAAGAATCCACTTTCAAAAACAAACTGCTCTGCCTCAAATGATCTCGAGCAGGTGTCGGAAATCCCTGAGGCGGTTCAAGGGGAAAGGAACGATGGTAGATATTCTTCTACTGAAACCTCCCTCCTCTCTGCATCTCCTCCTCCATTCTCCCTCGTCCCTCCTCCCTTTGTCAATCGTCCCTCCTCCAGGCCCCCCTCGTCCGTCCCTCCTTCATGCCCACTCCTAAACAATCCATCCCTGCTCCATGCCGCCTCCTCCTCCTCCTCCTCCTCACCATGCTCTGCCTCACCCTGCTCCACCACCTGGTACTTGCCCTTCTCTTCTCCTCCTAATTGCAGACTCCCCCTCCTGCTCCCTGTTCTCCTCCCGCGTTCCCTCCTCTGGGCGGGATCCAGAAGCAGTAGAAAGGACCAGGGACGCACAAACCATGACCTTCGATCTTCGATCCTTCTCCCCCTCCTCCTCCCATCACGCCTTTTCCCTCTACCACCGCCGACAGCGCGCGTGCTATCACGGATTGCGCTAGGTCGGAGCTGCCAGCAGCAGGTCGGGTCGCACGAGTGCGCGCACATGGATATCCTGTTGTACAAGACGAGCCCGTCCTGAGGCCAGTAAGGCGGGGGCGGGGGGAAAAAGGACTAGGATGAACATGTAAATGGTAAATGGGTACGTACTTAGAAGCCGTGTGTCTCCTTGGCAAAACCGGCTAACTCTGGTTGGCTAGCTTCGCGCGCAGGTCACCATGGTCCTCGGCGACAAGCTTGGGCGGGCCCTTGGGTGGCTATGGTGCCCACGAGGGCTACTTGCCGACGTTAGGCCATTCGGCGGACGTGCTGGGCAAAATGCCGCACCGATTCCACGCGAGCCTCTCGACCGCTGCCACCTGCGCACTGGTATCATCATTTGCTGCTCCCGTGCCACTCTGAGACGGTTTAATTCGTTGGTTGGTGTGAATTCTTGCCGTCGAAAGTGGCCTTGAGCTCAGCCCGTGCCGCCCTCTGGGTCCGAGAAGGAGCTGCCCACACTGGAAGCGGATCCGCGATGCCCTATTTGCTGCTGCTTGCTGCTGAAAACCACCCGCGTGCCCACGTCGGCCACCGAGGCTCGCGGAGCACCGGGGGGTGGAAGGGGCCCCGGCACAAGGGTGGCACCCTCGTGATGAAAGGTTGCCTCCCACCAACGAGTTCACTGCCCTGCAAAGCGGTGAAGGGAATCGTGGAACAACACATGGTGATGCTGCTGCTGATGCTGCTGATGATGATGATGATGATGATGACGATGATGATGATGATGATGAGGAGGAGGAGGAGGAGGAGGAGGAGGAGGGACGCGGAGAGAGGAAACCTGCCAGAAGCGCTTTCCGCCACGACTCTTTTCCTCACACAATTGACCTCCAAATCTCTCTCGGGATGCGTCTTGACCAGGATTCTGGGTGGAATCTGGCCATGGCGACAAAGAGCCTCCTAGAGGAACCACACACGCAGGAAGCTTCGATCAGATATTCAAGACGTTTTCTCAAACCTCTTTTCTCTATGGTGACTCCCGCTGGTCGAGGCGGCCGCCCCAGGCGGCGTGCGTGAAAGGACTATCATACCGCCAAGCTGTGGCCCAAGTGTCCTGGCAACCAACATGTGCTTCCCTCTCTCCCCGCCTCCTGGCAAGACGACGACTTGCTGCACGGGTCACGATGAACAACATCAACCGCGGTTCCCGAAACGGTGGTGCTGCTTCAGAACGGTTTCCAAATTGGTTGGCTGTGGATCGACGGCGAGCGAGGGGTGGAGGTGAGAAGGAGAAGGCCCTCTCCAAGGCGGAGGGGCTTCTCAGAAGCCATCGGGCCTACTGAGAAAATTTTATGTGTCTTCGGGGAAGGCTTAGAAACCTTGTCAGAGGCCAGGGGACTTCCGAGCCTTCTGAGAAGGCCCGCCCCTTCTCAATTCCCCAGCGAGCTGCCCGAATGAAGGCCCGGCTAGGGCCACCGCACTAGAGGGGGGACTTCTGAAGTCAGAAGGGTGCTGCGGGGAATCACGCCTCAGGTTGGCGGCTCAAGCGCTGTGTCGCTGTCTTCCCATACCCTCCCACACAGAAGAGTCGACACCTGGAGGTCTGAACCCCGTCTCCAGGACCAGTTTTTCATCCCGAGACTTCGAAGGTCCTGGGGCCTGGAGAGAGCAGTGAGACAGACCTCCCGTCGTGATTGATCCACAGCGAGAGGAGGCGGGGGATGCCTCGACCCTCGCTCCAGAACAATCTCGAGGACTCTTCCTCCCGGCCCCTCCCGCCCGTTCGAGGAGGGCCGTCCCTGGGGGGCTGCGGCCCGCGGGCGATCTCCTCCTTGTGGTGCCCGAAGGAGTTATACCGCCACGCGGACACGAGCCTCCCCGCGGCACCGCCGACGACGGCGCCGACGGCGCCGACGACGACGACGGCGCTGCCGACGACGACGGCGGCGGCGACGACGACGGCGCTGCCGACGACGACGGCGGCGGCGACGACGACGGCGCTGCCGACGACGACGCCGCCTACGCCTGCGACGACTCCGACGGCGCTGCCGGCGGCGACGACGACGAGGGCGACGCCGATGGCGGCGGCGCTCGAGGAGAGGATGGCGGGCGCGCTGCGCGGCCTGGCTAGGCAGGGGAGGCGCCGCGGGCCTTCTACGCGGCGGAGGGGTCAGCATCGGGCAGCTCGAGGGGAGGGAGGCAGGAATCGAGCAATACAGGTCCACCTCCTCCCTCCTCCCTCCCGCCCCCCTCCCTCTGATTGTTTTCTATTGTTGCGCGGCGGGGAGGGGGAGGGGGAGGAATGGAGGAGCACGGTGGACCTCTAGAGTGGTCCTCCCCCGAGAGGCGAGGTGGGGAGGGACGAGTGAGGCGATAACAAGGGGGGGGGTTGGCGAATCCAGGCGCCGGGTGCGCGACGATACGAGAAGGAACCGCTGGGCGGCGGGGTCGAAACGTGGTGCATGCAGCAAGCAGCAGATTTCGTAACTCCCCACTTCTCATCGCTGCCTGTCGCAAATTCCGAGGGCAGGAGGGGCCAGGAGGGGGGAAGTGGGGAGAGGAGGAGGGAGAGAGTGAGGAAGGGGCAGTTCCCCCTCTGCAGGGCAGCCAGCGCGCAAGGCCGACATGCCACAATCGACCCATCCTTGAGCTCTGCGGCTCCCTGAGCCGGGGCGGGCCGAGGGGAGGCGAGGGAGAGTCGAAGGTCGAAGGCCGAGGTTTTCGGGCGTTTGGGTGCCTCCGGCGTCTCCGAGGCCGCTGGACGGATGGGAGCGACAAGGGAAAAAAGGGTAGCTACGGCAGACTCGTGTCGTGACGACTGCGACGTTGGCTTCTGACTCACTGCGTGGGTCGTCCAACCCTGTGCGATCGCGACTCTACGATGCCGCATGCCGGCCGCTGGCGGCGCCCAACCTGGCACGCCCGCGCTGGGCCACCGCCACGGAAACTCCCTGCGAACCCACATCGCTTCGTGCACGAGTCAATCTGCATGCTGGCCTCGGAACCCTTGGCGCTCCTGCGCCAGGCGGTGCCCCAAGAGGCAGGCGGGGGCCGCGGCGTCGAGGCCGGAGGTGGTCCGAACACCGCAGTGAAGGCCTCCTCCTGAAACCGGGCGCCATGATGCAAGAGGGTCCCCTTTCCGCCTCCCAGTCCAGTCTGTCAGGCGAGCGCGGATCGCGCGAAGCCAAACGATAGGGGGGGGCGATGCGGGTCGACCGAAGGAAGGCAAATCATGTCCTGCTCCTCCTCCTCTTCCTCCTCCTCCTCCTCCTCCCCCTGCCTGCTCCTTCGGAGAAAGGCCCGGCCCTGCCACCCCTGGCAGCCAGAGCGGTCGCCGCGGCAGGGTGCATGGGTCGAGCGTCGGTCGCCGATCCTCCCTTCTTCTTGGATACTCGCAAGGGCGACCCCAAGCAAGAGTGACCCTGCGTGCGCGGGTTGCCGATGGTTGCGTGAGTGCGATGAGCAAGTAACGGCCTGCGTGTTTGGGATTGGCAAACCTGGGCTTGGACGAACCGCAATATCGGATCGGATTTAAAAACGATCGGATCGCCAACGAATCGTCCCCAAACGAATCGAAATCGTATCGCGGCGCCCGGCTCCAGCTGGCTCCAGCTGGCCCCAGCCGATGCCGGTGAATCGAAACGAACCGAATCGGAGTCGCGTCCCCGCGGCGAATGGAATCGCCTCGACTCGGATCGTAAGCGGCCCTGGTTGGCCAACCCGTGCGCCGCGGAAACCGCCCACCAAAGGTCACCCCCAGGAAGGGCCACTCGGCTTTCGGGTCACAGCTCGGTACCGCTCGGGACGATCTGGGCATCCCTGGAACGCTCGCGGCGAGGTGCAGCTGCTGGAGGGCATCCGCACGCAGGCAAAGCTCCAGGAACTGGCGAACTCGTCCGAAACGTTTGGCGGACCCGTTCCGATCCGCCGGGGGCCGCGCACCCCAAGGCCACTCCGACGAAGGGTCGCTCGCGCAAGCAACCGGCTCTCCTCAGTCTCGAAGCAAGCGGGACAGCGGCAATGGCAGGACTTCGGTTGGAAAGACGCGGCTTCGTGAAAACCTGCCAAGACCAGGCTCAGCGAGCGCAGGCCAACAGAAACTGCAGCCGCAAAGCCCTCTCGAGAACCGAGTAAGGGCCATTTGGCAGGATTCATTCATTCATTCACATCATTGGCGCCGATGGTTCGAGTGACCACATATCGCTGAGAACAAAAAGAGTGCAACCCAGACTTCAGACTTCGCACATCAAGGGTGCGATGTCCCTGCGCTTCTGGCGGTCCAAAAGTCCCCACTCCTCGCGAGTGGACTCGTAGCCGACAGACGCGCAAACGTCCCAGCCTGTGTTCCGCGCCGTCCGACTTATAGGAATGGTCGCGGGAGCCCGAATACAAGGCCGAAGACAAGCCGAAAAAGGTCGACCATCCGAGTCTCCTACGACTCGGTCTGGACGAACGCACTGTTGCAGAGCCTCTAAGCTCTCGAAACAAATCGACGCGCGCGACGTGCGAAGGTGAAGTTATGCAAGTCAGCCGCATTCCGAGGTCGCACGCGGGCCGAGCTAACTTTTGCAGAACAGACACCGCGAGAGAGGGGGGGAGACACGAACGGAAGGAGGAAGGGAGCCAGAGGAAGAGGGCGAGACGCGAGAACAGGAGGGAGAATAATAATAATAATAATAATAATAATAATAGAAGGAAACGATCCTCCTGCTGCGGTGCCCCATCTGCGGCGCCCTGTGACCTGCGCGGGCGCGTCTAGGTTGAAACCAGAGGTTCGCAGGGATGCGTCGAGCAGAAGCCAAAATAGTCCTTTGCCGCCAAGCCACGAATTGAATGGGCGCTTGGTTTTGCTACCGCAGCTGCGTTCACATGTCCCCGCGGTGCATCATGCCAAACGCAAGTTCGGAGCGCCAAGGCCTCGCGGGCCGCTCCCGGCGCGGCATCCCCATCCTCGCGCCATGCCCTCAGCGCGCCGGCCTGGCTGCTACAGGCAGCCTGGGTCGGCAGGCGGGCGGGCAAAACTCGCAAGCGGTCGCACGGCGTGCTGGAGCCCCCGGGGGAGCACGGCCTGCCGACACCGCCCCCGAGGGAGCGCAGGCCCCGCGGGCGGCCTCCGCGGAGGCCCAAGAGCCCACGGAGCCGGCTGCCCGGACCCGTGTCGCGGGTGAGCGCCCAGACCCTCGAGAAAAGAATTCACGGGAAAATGCATTCAATCTGGCGCGACAGAGGCCAAAGCAAGCAACGACGACGACAGGGAGAGAAAGGCGGGGGAGCGCGGGCCGGGCACCGCACCCGCCACTCCCGCAAGCGGCAGGGGCGGACACCAGGGCACGGCCCACGATGGAGAGGCCAGCGGCACGGCCCGGAGGAGCGGGAAGGGCGAGAGGAGAGGGGGAGGGACGAGACGACCAGCCAGTTTTTCAGATTGCGCCCAGCCGCGACGACGAGGAGGGGACGACGGACGAAACGAGACAAGACGAGACAGGACGACACGACAGCAGCAAGAGGGACCTCCACGCCAAATGACAAATCAATATGCCCCTCGACATCTGACTCTTGGGAAAAATCACAAATCAATATGCCTCTCGGCACAAATACGATATGCACTGTGAATGCTGGAAGACCCGTCCCCTGGCGTCCAAAACCAGCGGCGTTTGCGTACGACTCGCGCTGTCGGGGTGCCCCAGGCGGGGCGCACGGTGGGGGGGGGGGGGGGGGGCGCGGGGGGGGGGGGGGGGAGTGTGCAGACATGACAAATCCATATGCCTCTCGACACGGAAAATGACAGATCAATTTCTCACGGCACTGACAGCAAGAGAACTGAATTCTGGAAGACACGCGCCTCTGGCGTCCACTGCCAGCGGCGCCTGCATACAATCTCTCGCTGACGGGGTGCCCCGGGCAGGGGGCGCGGCGGGGGGGGGGGCGGGGCAGGGGGGGAGGAGTGTGCAGAAATGACAAATCCACGTGCCCCTCGACATGCGAAAATGACAAATCAATATGCCCATCGGCACTGACAGCTGGAGAACTGAACTCTGGAAGACACGCGCCTCCGGCGTCCACTGCCAGGGGCGCACTCGTTCTGGAACCATGACATGCTAGCCGACCCGCTGGCGAATGGGCCGGGCCTCCGTAGACCCATTTCTCAGGTCGAGCAGCCATTTGACCGTGGGGCCGTCCTGCGAGCGCTGGCTCGCCACGAAGAGCTTCTCGCACTTGATCGACTTCGCGATCCGGAGGGCCGCGTGGTACTCCGCGGGCACCTCGTCGGACATCAGGAACGCCCGCGCCCGCGGCTTGCCCTCTGCCAGCTTATTATCGTGGCGCGGCTTCATCCTGAAGATGATGCCGTCCACGACCTCCTTCGCCAGCTTCGAGATTTTGCCCACCGCCTCCCTGGCCTCGGCGTTGTCCACGGAGACCTCCTTCAGGAGCATCTCAAAGAGGAGCCGGTGGATCAGCGCGCGCTGGGAGCCCAGCGGGTGGGGCCCAGAACCAGAATCCTGGCCCATCGTTGGCCTTCTTACGGCGAGGATCCTGCTTGCGCCAGCTGTCCCTCGCCGTCTCGACGCCCCCCTTCAGGCCAGCGCCCATGACCGCCACCACGAACGACGAGCGGTCGAGGAGGTCTCCCAGGACCCTCTCGTGGGCAATGAGCACGGGGATGATGCCCTCCATGAGGATGGCCCGCTCACTCTTGCCCTTGCCGCCCTTGCCGCGCCCCTTAGCGCCGGCGCCGGCCGCGGGGGCCGCGGCAGCAGCTGCGCCCCGGGAATTCTGCGCAGCCTGGAGAACGTCCATGCCGACGCGCAGAATGAATGGCACAGTACGAGAAGGTAGCCAACAACGAGCTCGACCGCCCGAGCCCATGCAC